CAGCTTGGGGGGGGCAGGGCACCCCCTCCAAAGCAACCCAGCCAGTCCCAAGGGAGGAGGAAGGCTGGACGGGTCCCCACTGCTGGAACACACCAGTCTGCAGACAGAGGGGCGGAGCCCCTCCAGGGTTCCAATTCCAGGGTCCCAGGGCCCCAGGGCCAGCACGGGGCTGGAGGAGGGAGATGCGGTGGAGACAGACAAGGCAGGCTGAGGGTGGAAGCCCCTGGGCGGGTTCTGAGGCTGGGGTACTGGGATGCCTGTCCTGTCCCCAGTAACTACAGGACTCTGCCCCGAGTGGGGTGCCACAGGGAGCAGGGGAAGCCGGCGACCCTCACCATGACCCAGCGTCCAGGTCAGGCTCTGTGGACCTGAGGACGGGTCGACAGGTAAGGGCTGGGCCAGAAGTGCCCACGATGCGGGTGCTCCCTTGTCACCACCCCAGGCCGTCGGCGGAGCCCCAGGCCCGGCCTCCTCACCTGCTCCTTGTGCCAGGGGCTGTTCTCCAGTCCATCCACCTGCAGGAGCTTTTTGGCCACCCCAACGCAGGGGAGATCCGTAAGGACGCCCAGGTGGCAGGCCACACCGAAGCCTGCCAGGGCAGAGGCTCATGAGGCTGGAGTGGAGGGGTCGGTCAGGCAGCAGTAAGCCAAGCAGCCTGGAGACAGGGCAGGGGCACGAGGCTGGGAGAGGTCCGTGGACAACAAGAGGCCTGTGGACACCAGACCTGGGACCTAGGTCGACCTGGACAGGCCCTCTGCCTGACTTCGTGGGTGTGAAGCTGGTGAGGGGTAGGGGTGGCTGCTTCTCCTTCCTTCCAGCACCTTCCAGCCTCCTCACCCCTTCACAGCTGCCATAGGCCAATGCCCACGATCTGGGCCGGCCAATGGCCTGGGACCACGCCCTTTGGCTCTGCACTCCCAGGCTCTGAGGGCAGTGGCCGAGCAGCGCTCATGACTACTGGCCAAAAGGGCCCTTCTGGGTGCTGCTCGCTACCGTGCCCCACCCCAGTTCCTCTCTGAGGGTGAAGCAGCCTCCTCCCTGGGCATCAGAGGCAGGAGCGGGCCCTCCTCTCTGGGTCAGGGCCAGGGCCTGATTGGCAGATGCAGGGAGGCCATGGGTGCAAGGCTCTACTGGACTCGCCCTCTGGATGGATGATGGTCCCTGGGTTTGGGCCAGAGCCGGCACTGCGGGGGAGGCAAGGTGGCGGAGTGGCAGGGAAGAAAAGGCAGGTGGGGAGTAAGGGTGGCCTGACCAAGGAGCCCAGAGAGGCAGTGGCCACGGCGGGCTGGCGGGGGCCC